ACCTGGTACTCCTTGTTCTCCCTGAGTAATAAAATGGCTCTGTGTCAGTTACGTGTTGTGTGTATATTGCATGTTTTCTCAAGGTCATACAATATACTTTGGTTATGATGCTCTGAAATTTTATAACCGAGGATGACTGAAAAGTCTGGAGAGTTTGTGAAGGGATGTTGAACACAGAGAAGCCACAAAAAGGATTCCTAATTCTTAACTTCAGTTTTCTGGTACCTGTTTGTTTTAATTGCCTTTTAATAGTTGATGTTGATTTTTCAAAATTACACAAATAAAACTGTCTGAAGTAATGGCAATTTTGCAAGCCTGGACTTAATGAATAGCTGACTTACATTGCCTAAAATCCAGTATAAAATTAGTAAGAATAAGCCATCAAACAGATTCTGATGCAATTTTATGTTAACTACTGTTTTATTTTGAAGCAAACTGCCTTGTTTGGCAGTGGAACATAGTGGAACATCATGGAAAATCAGTAAATCATGAAAAAGTAAATCAATCCCTTCTTTAACTAGAATACTTTCAGATTCATATTTACCTTGGCTCCTGATGATCCCGGTTTCCCCTGTATTCCAGGTTCGCCTTTATCACCCTATATAACAGTATAAGAGTGTGGTTGATACACTGGTATGTTTTGTCACATGTAGTATGACTAGCAAACATAAACAGACACTGTTGGGAAGTTGGCTCTTAAAAACAGGCACAGGTACTGACTGCTAGAGGCTAAAGTTCTGTTCCCTTAGAGGAAACCTGAAGTTTCAACTTTCTCTCAGGAAAGATGAGATACTGATGACAAAATTTGATCTGCCAGCCTCTGCTCACCTGTCCCCTCCCTAACTGTCAATTTCCCTTCCCCAGTCATACCATGTTCATGTGTACTGACTTCACATTTCCACCATCCTACTTAATAAAATCCTGAGAATCACTGGACCTGTCTAAGCCAAAATATTTATTTATGTTTGGTTTTTTACTGCAGCCTATGGAATTAGGCATATTTCAGCACAAGGATTTTCATTAAAATCTAAGAATTATTGATTACTTCATGATGCTCTTCTGTAAGAATGAGCTTATTAAGAATGATTCTGTAAGAATCAGCTTATATTCTGAATGAGAGATAAATATACAAAACAAAAGCATTTTTCACAAATGAAAATAAAGCTAATTAATTTTTAGTCATTTCATAGGTATTCAATCTTCTTGATGATAGCAAACATTGATCACTTTTTAAAAGTGTTACCTTCAGTATACAATTTTAAAATAAATACATATATACTTTTGGATATAAAATAATGTATGGGTGGAAATGGAGCTAAATATAAGTCCAAAGTCCGGGAAATGGACTCTATATTCCTAAATATTCTCTAGGACATACAACTAATTTTGGATTAAATTTAAAGGTTACACTAACAGATCTGGATTTATAGTATCTATTTTAGTTTCTGAGAGCATGGGTCTAATTAATTCTTGCTGTAGCTGCAGTGCAATCAATAAAGTTACGTATGAAATAAATTTGGCTCCTCAGTTGGAAAAAGCAGCACGTAACACCATTTAACACAATTAAAATATAAATAAATGTAACATGGGCAGAAAGCTCTGATGCGTGCTGAGAATTATCTGGCTTCCAGCATTGCAGAACATTTTCCAGGACTGCGAAGCTGAAACAAAGTCTCATGACCATTTCTGCAATTGTTACAAACCTCTTGGGATGACAGGCACTGTTTACTGTGCTATATTAAGCTCTCTTGAGACTGAACTATCATATAAGGTAATGTAG